ACTTTCAATTTCTGGGAGAAGAGTGGCAGAATTTTAAAAAGCCACAGAATTTTCCTTTAGAAACTTTACATCCATAAGTGTTGCAATAGATTATACTATCTTCAACACAATCCTAGTGGGAGGTGACACATACTAATAAATCATTTACCTACTGTAATAATTTTGATTCATTTTAAAATTGCAAGGACTGTATGCAAATCAGCATGAAGTATTTGAGAAAAGTAAATTGAAGACTCAACAGATATTTGATGCATTGCTGTCCAAGCAAACTATTGGTTTTCCGAAGTAGAAATAAGTATTGGCTCTCAGGGTGGACAGTTTTACTTTTTAAAAAAAGATGCTACAGGGATCTGTAATGGTAAAATGTGTAACATCTGAAGGGATATTAGACAGTAATACATGATGATTTTCTAACAGAAATCTGGAGATAACAATGTTATCAGGTACAGTTACCAGAACATTCTAGAGGGAGCCTGTTAAGGTCTCTTTAAGGCCACTTAACGTAAGTCTGTCTTGTTATTAAGTGCCATCAAGTGGGTTCCGACTCATAATGACCCTGTATAGGGTTTCCAAGAAGTGGTTGATGAACTTGACTGCTGACCTTGTGGTTCAAACCCATTTTGCAGTCCAGCTCAGTAACCCACAGAGCCACACCAGGACTCAAGGCTGTCTTAAAGGGCTATTTGTTTTTCTCGCTCTGCATAGGGGAGTTAGAAAGCTTTTATATGGGAGTCTAAATTTTATCAGTCCTGTGAGCCATCTATTTCTTATTACTCTGGAATTAATAAAAAATATTTCTTTTCCTTAGATAAAATATGTTTCACACACTATCTACCTTAAGTTATTTAGCAAAGTTTTGTTCTCATTAATATATATGGTTGTTTATCCTTGTAAATTTAGTGCCATTAAAGGCCCCTGCTGTATTCCTTGTTGATATTGCTGCTAAGTGCTGTAAAGTCGGTTCTGACCTTTAGTGACCCTGTATGGGGCTTCCAAGAGGTGACTGATGGGTTTGAACCATTGACCTTATAGTTAGCAGTCCAGTGCTGATCCTCCAGCACCACACCAGGACTCCAAGCTGTATCCCTTGTTGTTGTTACTGAGTGCCAACAAGTCAATTCCGACTCATAGCGACCCTGTATAGGGTTTCCGAGGAGCAGCTGTGAGTTTGAACCCTTCAAATCAACCTTGAGGCCCAGTTCTTATGCTACAGCACCACACCAGGACTGTATCCCTGGAGCCCCTCTATTTCAAATCTGGTTGAAGAATGTTTCAATTGTTTTCCAATGCCTGGGTTTCTCACAGTAATGGCAAGTATTGGGTTTAGTGCCTAACAAAGGGCTTGGATTTATGCTGTTGGGTTTGTTAAGTGTCATCCAGTTGGTTCTGACTCATAGTGACCTTGTTTAGTTTCCAAGGTGGGTTTGAACTGTCAATATTGTGGTTAGCAGTCCAAGGCTTACCGTACAGCACCATGACAGAATTTTGTTAGTTAGGAGAATTATTGTAATTACAATTATTGTAATTGCAACACCATTAGTTTATTCATCTTGAACACTGTTAAGATGTGAACCAATTGATTTGATTACACCAAAAAGATGGGTGTAATCCATGCTGGTAAACTAACTAAGGACTAAGGTTCTTGGGCAATTTTATAACGATCCTCACACAATTTTGAAACACCCTTAACAATGTAATTCTGTGTTAGTCTAAGGCACAAAGGACGGATCAGGACCATCAGACGTTTCTCTGGTGTCCATCCTAGAGCTTATAGATCAGCGTTTAAAAGGTATGTCAAGAATAAGCTTTATTTCTTCAGTAGTATTTTCAGAAAAAGCATTCAGACAGAGTATTATCAGAAGACTAAGTAAGAAGGTGTGGTGATTATGTGCCACAGAGTCGGTTCTGACTCATAGCGACCTTGCATAGGGCTTCCGAGGCTGTGAATCTTCACAGGAGCAGAAAACCTCATCTTTCTCCTGAGGAATGACTGGTAGTTTTGAACTGCTGACCTTGAGGTTAGCAGCCCGACTTACAACCACTATGCTACCAGAGCTATAAAGGAGCAGTGACTGGCAAGGGAGCAGAAGGTATTGGAACTGTTTGAACTGGTGGAACAGAGATTTGAGATTGTAGCTCCTAGTTTTGTTCAGTAGTTAGTTTAGAAGCATTATCCTGAAGGAAAGATGGTCACTGAATTTCTAGACTGTTTTTAGCAAAGGTGTGCAGGTTCCAAAAACAAGTAGGTAGGGGCCAAAGCATTAGGAGGCCGGTGTGCTAGAAGGTGGCCCTGCTGAGTCCTTAGCTACAGTTTAACCATCTCACTAAAACCGTGAACAAAAGTGTTGAAACCTGAAGGGTCTCTGAAACCAGAAAATTGCACTTTGATAAGGCAAAAAGATGGGTTTAAACATAATGGATTGAGACTTTGTTTCTCCCAAAGTTTGACTGTCATACCTGGGAGTATTGTGATGCCAGTCTTGTCAAACGTGATTTGGCAATAAACTTGTCAAAATGTTTAGAGTGTAAACTGAAAAAGAAAGTACAAAAGAAATCCAACAATTGATACCAAAGAGTAACACCACAAGGAAGTAAAGCTCGATTAAAAGGCGACTCCTGGGAATATGGGGAGAATATGGGGAGACACTGAGTTCTAATAGCTCTGCTGGATAAGCCCAAATATACGGTGTCCAGGGGACCACCGAAGATGATGTGTCTTTAAATCTTATTTATGACACCAGATAATGCCAAAGAGTACTCTTAAAAGTAGAGAGATTGATTGAAGAATATTATAACTGCAATTGGGCAATAATTTTCAAAATTACAAATTGTTCCAGGGTACAGAAAATGAGAAGGGCTTTCTTTTATAAAGGAGTTTAGGGGGAACTCACCATTAGTCAGACATCAGTTCATCTATAGATGTCTTGTCCTGGAGCTAGCCCACTTGAACATTTAAAAAAAAAATGGTTTTACTTATCAAGGATAAGGGCAGCTTGTACAAAAGTGTTCTTTATGAGAGCAGCTGTAGTTCTAGCTCCTACTCCTCCCTGAGTCAGTACAAATTAACCCAGTACTGTGAGTGAGCTCAGCTCAATTCAGGTCTGTTATTACAGCACAAAATGGAAGTCTCTCCCAAGCTGAACAGTTAGATTTGGGGGTGGGCGGTGGGGGCTTCTACATAAAGGTGGAAAGAGTAAATACCACCCCCTTTAATATTAATAGCAATTTGGTATTTGAGTCAATTAGACGCCTCATTTTGAAAAATTTTACCTCTTCCAAGGGACCAACCTATAACCCAAAGCTTGGGAGAAAGTTGATGGTGGTTGTGTTTAAAGACAAACTGCAATTGAAATAGTGGTTTCAAAGGCTACTTGTAATATCATTTAAGGTTTTCAAATTTTAAAACAGGGAATAAATTCTGTGTATACATACCCACATATTTCTGGCATGTGGCTTCTGAGCAATTTTCTTTTAATAATGAAGAAATAAAAGGCAGCAACCTTCGTACTCACTTTAAACACAAAGCTATCTGTGAACACAATGACATCCAAAATGAAAGAACATGGCTGCCTCACTCTGAATGGTTTCCAGGGGCCCTGGCTATGGATAAAGGTCCTAGTAACACTGGAAGTCCCACTGTTCTAAGACACAGCACATTCCAACAGAGAATACACTTCATACTTGTGAGTGACTAATGGGAAAACAAGAGAGCAGTTGCTAAACATGCCTTTATTTGGGCATTATTGTCAAATGATCAAAGACAAAATTCTGATAGCTCTGCCTGATCGTCTGTAGTACTCGAGTTACAGAAATAGTATTTGTACAGAATGTATTCTTGTGCAAAGCAGATCATTTATTTAGCACAAAGTCAAATTATAAAAACCTCCATTTCATTTTAAAACAGGCCATTTAAAAGCATTTGTGTCATCTGAAGTTTTCATCAAGATATCTGTACAATCTGGATGCTCGAATCTATCATTTCCAGTAATAAAGACAATTCTCACTGCTTGTGGGGTGCCAGGGGGAACAATGCTATGGAGAAAACTGTCCTTCAAATAGTCCAGTTGGTCCCAGGAAATGCTGTTTCTTACTCAGCCTAAGATGTCCTTCTTGAGCTCCAAGGGAAGGGTTTTACTCCTGTTTAATTCAATTGCAAGCAAACAGTTAGGGATCCAATATGTAATAAAGTTGCAAAATTTGCAGTAGAATAACCAAGGTCTCTTAAGAATAACCCTTTGAAGTCTGTCCTGCTAAGCTTCTCATACAATGCTCTTCAGAACCAGCAACCCTAAAATCCCGAATTCCAGATGTAATAATGGTTGGCAAACACCCTTTTAATAAGCACTTTGCAATTCCACATGACTCCCTGACAGCTTTACTAGAGAAAGCATGGAATAACTAATTGTGAGAGTGCTCTAAAAAGGTTAGAGACAAAAACCAACTCAGTTTAACCACTGCCCTACTAGCTGTGAATTCCAGTTCATAAAACCCTCATGACAGACAGAATAGGCAAGCAATGTCGTCTCCCTAGTAAAAGCCATGCTATTTATCTGCCCTCCTAGTTTCTTTCCTTATTTTTGGTCACTGTCAAGATAACTCCCGACTGGCAGGTGGCAGGGAATATTTACAAGTAAGGCCAGTAGCTCAAGGGTACGGTCCTTTCTACCCCCAAAGGAAGATGAGGCAAAGACGCTCAAGAGAACATTTTGTGAGCATGCTAAGATGTCCAATTTTAACTGTCTTGGCACTAATGAAACTGGATGTCTGAAGCTGTCCAATTTCCCAAGCACAAGGAACTCCCAGTTCTAAGTCTACTGTGGTGGTTAGTGGCTGTATGCAGTAATGAGCCTTATTTAGGAAGGACTTGGCTTTCTCTTCAGCTGGGTTCTTGAGTTAAGTAGGCCGGGGCTGTGGGGTCAACAGGGTGGAAAGACCTAGAAGGCTCATGGGATCAGGGACAGCCTCAATGTACAAGGGGCAGTTCCATGTTTTCCTGGCCTTCAGCCTTCCAGGTCGGTGAATTTTCTCTTCTTGTAATTCTGAACAAGGTTTGAGGCTGTGATCTGAGACGCCTGTCCCTTCTCCCAGCACTGAAAGTTGTTCAGTCCTTTCTGACCCATTTGAAATAAGCCCCTCTCCATCTCATCTAGCCTGGCAACCAGCGCCGACGTGTCTTCATTGTAAGCATTCTGAGAGGAGTCCATGATGCGGCGAAAACGTCCAATAAATGTCTGAAGGAGAAAGGAGTAAGAGAAATCAGGGATGCTCACATCCCACAAAGCCAGATCCTTTTTAACACCTACGTACTGAAGTGATCAGAAAGAGGTCTGAGTCTCCTCTACCACTCAGGGAAACGATTTTACATTGTTGTTAAGTGCCTTCCTAGTGAACCTGTATAGGGTTTCCGAGGGGTGGTGGGTGGGTTTGAACTGCTACCTGCAGTTCAAATTGATCTTGCAACAGTCTAGTCGTCGATCCTACTGAGCCACACCTGAAAACCATTACTGATCATTGTTATCAGTAACAAAGTCCATACAGCAGTCACATCAGTTTTCAATCAGAAAAGTCTTTGACATGGTTGGATGGCATTTTCGTTTCTTGGGTCTGAGAGCAGGAGGGATCTACCTAGGGGTGTGGCTTTACTGCAGAACTCAGAGCCCAAACCCTGCTTCAGTTTCTTAACTGTTTCATGGAGACACTGCCTGATATATTAATAACTTGAAGCTAAAGCACTTCAAAGCAGTGGTGGAAAAAGATACAAAGTCACTAAAATAATACACACACACACAGCAATACAACTCACTAACAGCAACAACAACAAAGCGGAATCCCCACTAATAAACTACCCTAGGGATGTTCTGAGACACGTGACTTTTTCTTATTTCTAGCTTGCTGCTCAAAAGTTTCATCAGCTTGAACTGCTCTAGAATCGTTTTTTTGTGTTTTTCTCTTCTACAGAAGTCCTGGGAACACGGTGGCTCCATTCGGTAAGCACTGGACTTTGAACCACAAGGTCTGCGGTTTGAGCCCCACAGTTGCTCCAAGAAAGAAAGATGAGGCTTTCTGCTCCCATGAAGATTTAAAGCTTCCAAAATCTAATGTCGGGGTCCCTGTGAGTTGGAACCAACCTGACAGCAGTTAACAACGTAGGAGTCGTGGTGTGGCGCTGCAGGATAAGCACTGCACTGCTAACTTCAAGGCTGTAGTTCAAATCCATCAGCCACTCCTTGGAAATTTCACACAGGGCCACTGTGAGTCAGAACTGACTCAATGGCACTTAATAGCAACCTCGTCTCTGTAAGGGGCCCTGGCAGTACTGTGGATTAGGTGTTGGGATATTAACCTCAAGGTCAGTGGTTCAAACCTACCAGTAGCTCTGCAGGAGAAAGATGAGGCTGTCTGCTCCCGTACAGAGTCATTCTTTTTCTGGAAACCCTATCCAGAGATGCTATGTATTGGAAGCAACTCAATGACAGTGGATTTGCTTATAGTCTATGTGGCGTCTCTGGGTATAATAAATGGTTAACATGCTCTAAGGAGCTCTGGTAGCATAGTGGTTACGAGTCGGGCTGCTCATCCCAAGGTGAGTAGTTCGAAACTACCAGCTGCTCTGTAGGAGAAAGATGAGGCTTTCTACTCCTGTAACGATTTACAGCCCCAGAAACCCTAATACAGGGTGGCTATGAGTCAGAGCCCACTCCACGGCACACAACCCCCACTGCTAACTGAAAGGTTGGAGGTTTCAGTTTACCCAGAGGTGCCTTGAAGGAATGGTCTAGTAATTTACTTCGGCCACTGACGGACGACACTAGGAAACAGAGTTCCACTCTGACACAGGGGTGGCACTAGGAGGTGTAATTGACTCTTTTCTCCACGGATCGCAATATAATTTCTGTTTAACATTTCTATTAAAAACAACACTGTTACACATTGTTAGACTAAACAACCCTTATGCCTGATGGAGGACATCAACACAGCCCAGGGAGCAAACCTGTCTTGAAGCAAAAGCTCTTACAAAGTTTCTAATGAGGAAATAAAAATCTTTTGGCTCAAGAGGTAGAAAAGATGGTTTCTTCTAATACTGATAAAAAAATATAATTATGTAAAGTTAAAATGGAGTTATACTGAAAAGGATGGTGATATATGCATAATACGGTAATGTTACCCATTAGTAAATGGCATTGCATACTTTCAGTACAGCGCTATAATTCTGACATTATTTTCATCTCCATTTTATAGGTGAAAAATTGATTACTGGAAAGGTCACACAGCTAATACATGGCAGATCCAGGTCTTAACCCCAGAACGACAAGAAGTCTGGTGAATGGCTGCTAGCCTAAAAGGTGGCAGTTCAAACCCAACTAGCAGCTCCAAGGAATAAAGGCCTGGTGCATGCTTCTGTAGAGTTTACAGCTAAGGAAATCCTATAAAGCAGTCCTATTCTGGGTGGCAGTTAAGGATGGGTGGTTGGTGGTTCAAACCCACCAGCTGCTCCTCAGAAACCCTATATAGGGTCGCTGTAAGTCAGAACCAACTCAACAGCACTCAACAACAACAACTCTGTAGCTCATGGGGTTGCCATGAGTTGGGGGCGGACTCTGGTAGCTAACAATAACAACAACATACACACACATAAACAACTCATGGACTTCTAACAGTTCTGGCACTGGGCTAGGACTGTGTGTTTAAGTCCTTGTCACCATAATCCACCATCACCCTTTCTCATTTCTGGGCTTCCTCCTGGTCCCAGCTCTTAACAAGGACACATGAGCAAGAGGAGACAAGTCCTATTTAATATGTTTACATAACTGGCAGACACGGTCTAACTTAGGCTGACCTGAAATAATACCGATCTAAGTTATAAACCATACATTATCCCCTCCCCCGGGAAGAGTGAACGCTATCATCTGGCTGCCTTCCGACACATGTGTAGCACCATGGGTTTGATGTCAGTTACTTGCCTGCAGGAGAGACTGAGAAATATCTGCATTCTCTGGGCTGTCAAAATGTAAGAGCTGGGAGCCGAACCCATAGAAATGAGGCCCCATCTTATGGAGGTCCACCACATTGGCATCTGCGCTGAACACGGTCCTCCAACCCTCTTGATAGATCTTGGGAAGTTCCACAGAAAGGATCCGCCGCTTGGTGTCAAAAAGTCCTTTAGCCAACCACAAGGGGATTTCAAGCTTTGAGCCCTGCATCAAACCAGAGGACAGATTTTTAAAACGGACAAGATAACACAGCAAATGTGTGATATAAACAGGAAATACACACATCCTGGGCAATGTGGAGTGGTCTTGTTGGGGAGCGATTGTCAAATGTAGAAGACCTGCTTGTGACTTGAAGAAATAAACTGTGTGTGCCAAAGTTTAGTCTCAGGGGGAAGTTTCCTTTTCTCATTTTTTACTTTAATTTCATTTTGGGTGAAAACATACATGGAAAAACGTGTTCCCTCTCCAGTTTCTAGACATTATGATCTTCACATTGTATCAACATTCTTGTTAATTCTGTGTTGTTTCATTTCCATATATTTAATCCCCCTGCCCCTCAATCTTCTTATTTATGTTTTAAAATAATTGCTGACTCTTTAAGGAGTCTGGTGGTACAGTGGGTTAAGCACAGGGCGGCTAACCACAAGGTTGGCAGTTCAAACCCATCACCCACTCCAATGGAGAAAGATGAGGCTGTTTGCGCCTGTAAAAATTTATCATTTCAGAAATCCTAAGAAGCAGTTTTCTCTGTCCTCAAGTGTGGTATGTAGGAAGGATAAGCACTAGACTGCTCACCAAAAGATCTGAGGTTCTAACCCACCAGCTGCTTTTTGGAAACCCTATACAGGGTCATTATCAGTCGGAACTGATTCGATGGCAGTGGATTTGGTGCTTGACCCTTTGTTCTTAGACCTAAGTCTAAAGTGCCATCAAGTCGCTTCTGATGCACAGTGACCCTAGTAGGCAGATTAGAACTGTCTCACAGGATCTCAAGGCTGTAATCTTTATAGAAGCAGACTGCCGCATCTTTCTCCTGTGGAGCAGCTGGTGGGTTACTCCCAGGGCTAAATTAGTGCTTAGTTTAAAGGTGCTTTCAGGGGGTAGTTTTAATTCAAGGTTTGATTGAAGAACCATAATCCTGAGGACTCCTCTAATTTCAATAGGTTCAGTAAGTCTGGGTTCTTTAAAAAAACAAAAACTAAAACTAAACTTCTAGTTCTGTTCCATATTTTTCTCCCTTTTACCAGGATTCATTCACCTATTGTGTTCTTCACCAGAACATTCACTTGTGGTGGTTCGGTACCATCTAAACTTTCTGGTCTCAAAGGGGAGGAGGCAATGGTCTATGAAGCTAATTAGTTTCTTTCCTGATTCTTAGGTTTCCATCTTTATCTTTTGCTTCAGACACACATAGTCCAGTACCCACCAGCCACTCCACAGAAACCCTGTACAGTGTCACTATGGGTTGGAACCAACTCAACAGCACTTAACAACCAGTCATACCTTAGCGAGTCCTGGTGTGGCACTGCAGGATAATGCACCGGGCCACAAGGTCCGTTTGAACCGCCAGGTCAGCAGTTCAAACCTACCAGCCACTCCTCGGAAACCCCATAGAGGGTTGCTATGAGTGGACTTAACAACAACAACAGTCCTATGTTAGATGGCAGCTCATAAGCTTTTAAGATCCTAGACACTACTCACCACATAGGGAGACAGAATATAAGCTTAAAGAACTACGGTTGGTTGGTTGCTTGGTTGGTTGTGTGCCATGGAGTTGGTTCAACCCCGTATAGTTTCCAAAGCTGTAAATCTTAATGGAAGCAGAAAAGTCTCATCTTTCTCCCATGAAACAGCTGGTAGTTTCGAACTGTTGACCTTGAGGTTAGCAGCCCAACTTGTAACCACTACGCTATCAGAGCTCCTTAAATGTGAGAGGTCTTCAAAAAGTTCATGGAAAAATTGAATGAAAAGAGAGTGGAATTGCCAGCCATGAATCATATATATCCAGCAAAGCTGTCCCTCAGCTACAACAGAGAAATAAGGATATTTGCAGATGAACAGAAATTAAAGGAATATGTAACCAGACCAAATTTACAAAAAACACTAAAGGATGCTCTTTGGACTGAGAACAGCAGCAGACAACAATTTGAGATGAACAAACATGACATCACCCCAAAACTCAATTCAGGTATGTTGCTGTTAAGTGCTGTTGTGTTGGTTTCAACTCACAGTGACCCTGTGGAGGATTTCCAAGGAGCGGCTGGTGGGTTTGAATCACTGACCTTGTGGTTCAAACGCACCCTGTGGATCCTATAGTGCAACATCAGGACAATTCAGATACAGAAGCATTTAAAGTAACACACACCCAAAGACTGAAAGTAGGGAACCAGAGAGGTCAACTTACAATGAAAACAACTACAAAGCAAAAAGAGGGAATCGTATAGATAGAGCACTTCCAAAAGAGGAGGAAGTCAAGTAAATTTCAAGAGAAAATAGACTGTGCTAAACTGAGGAAGAAATTAATAAATTAATTTTATCTTTAATTTTTTTGTATAATTAATGCATTAATATACCTTCACAGGAAAATAAACAAGAGGAAAATCAGAAAGATTCAGTAAGCATTAAGAAATCACATCGAAAAAAATTAAAGGAAAACCCACACAAAATGAACTCAGTGCAGAAAATGATACAAAATGACAGCAATTAATTCATACTTATTGATAATGACACTGAAGGTAAATGGATTAAATGCACCAGTCAAGAAACAGCAAGTAACAGAATGGATAAGAAAACAGGATCCTTCAATATGTTGTCTACAAGAGACACATCTTACAAAGACAAAAATAGCCTAAAATTCAAAGGCTGGAAAAAAAAATATATCAAGGTAATAGTAATAAGAGGCATAATGATTAAAGGCTCAATTGAACAAGAGGATAAAACCATAATAAATACCGATGCTTTCTTCAATTCTAATAGAACTGAAGAAAGAAACAGACAACTCAACAAGGAGATTTTAATACACCACTTTTGATGAAGGAAAAAACAAGAAGAAACACAACAAAGACACAGAAAAACTAAACAACACAATCAACCAACTTGACCTCACAGACATACACAGAGCACTCAAGCCAACACAAAACATGCTCTTCTCCAGTGCACGTGGAGCATTCTCCAGAACAGACCATGTTAGGTCACAAAGCAAACCTCGTTAATTTTAAATCATCCAAATACTACAAAGCATCTTCTCAGATCATAATGCTAGAAGGGAAAAAAGATAATGGAATTTCCCCACAAACTTTTTGAAGCCCCCTTGTATTATGCCAAATGAATAGATAGTCCACAGGGGTAAGTTTTCTAATTAACCAACATAAATAAAAATTTGTCCAACTGCAGAAACTTTGGAGGTATAATAAACATTTCTACTTTCTTTGAATTGTTGTTAAGTGTTGTTGAGTCCGTTCTAACTCATAGTGACCCAGTATAGGGTTTCTGAGGAGCGGCTGGTGAGTATGAACTGCTGACCTTAGCAGTTCAAAACAACCTTGTGGCCCAGTGCTTATCCTACAGCATCATACCACGTTTCCAGTCCGACCTCCGTTTCATAGGAATTGGCCCTGGGCTGATTTTGAGTTTGTCTCTGCCACTTGTGAAGCCAGAGGAAGTCAGACATAGTCTCCCTGCTGTTTTTGTATCACCCCATACCCAGGGTGGTGCTTAGCTCATAGCGATGCTGGTGGTGGTGGTGGTAGTGGTGACCCCAATAGCGTTTTCGAGGTTGTAGTCTTTACTGGAGTAGAAAGCCTCATCTTTGTCCTGCTGAGCAGCTGGTAGAAATTCCACAGGCCATGTCTGACTTCCTCTGGCTTCACAAGGGGAAAAGAGAATCAAACTCAAAATCAGCCTAAGGCCAATTCCTATGAGTGGAAGTCAGACATCCCTCCACCCTACAATCTTCTTCACCCTATTCAGACAACAACCATCCCTCCCAAAGCTCTGGTTCACATCTGGGCTCCATAAAAGGCCACATGGAACTCACAGACAATACTCATGACTTTGGGGTTTCTTAGGGAGGTGAACAGGGTACATTCAGGATCAGAAACTACTCAGGATGCAGCAGTTCTCGCCAGGAAAACCTCCTGTCTTCCATCTGCAGGCATGCCTTACTCGTCTAGGGCCTCTTGCTACGTGGTTTGCCATCCCATTAGATTTAAAAGGCGTCATCTCAAAAGCAGGTACAGATACCTTGTTGTTGTTGTTAAGTACCATGGAGCCAGTTTCGACTCATAGAGACCCTGCACAGGGTTTCCAAGGCTGTATATCTTTACGGGAGCAGAACGGCTGGTAGTTTCGAACCGCCCACGTTGAGGTTAGCAGCCTGATAACAACCATCAAATAAGAAGAGCATGAGATCCCTACCTGGAAAATACCAACAGCAGAAGCCAGGGCAGAGCGGACAGCGCAGCCGTGGGCTTCTAGGCCCAT